AGTATCAAGATCCACAAAACAAATGAGAGATTGGTGAAGGAATTCGCGGAGCAGCCATCTTGTTGCCTTTCCTTCCCATTTATTTATTCAATTTTTGCCAATTTGAAATTATTCTTTTGCTTTGTTCAAGTATAAATAATTTCCTTTTTCTAGGATTTCAAGGTAGCTCTCCATGACTATTTGAATCCTTAATTTATGTTATTGAAGTTTTTATCTAATCATTGTACAATATTAAGAGAATGCAAAATGTCAATTTACCCCCCTTAATGTCTAGTCTTTTAACTTATTTGTTGCCTAAATGTACTCATTATATTCTATTGATTAGGATGCAAATGGAGGCGTTAAATGCAAAACGGAACTAATTAGGTGAATTCAGACAGTTTCGACATCGCTTCGTAATCTGGGCATAACTCTCTTATGCTACGTCAGGAACTATTAAGTTCTAAGAAGAACATTTGACTGAATTAAATACAACCGCTTGTGTTTGTGTGTCAGTTCATCGATCTCTAGGGCTTAAGGCTACCATAGATTAAATCTTTAGCGCTTGTCTAGGGTTGTTTACTAGTAAGATTAATTAGATCGCTGTTTCCTAATTAATTACAACTAAGGAGAGTAGGAAAATAGTCCAATGGTGAATACTCAAAGTAAAAATGATTTATTTTTGCATCAATGATCAGTTGTAAGATTCCGATGGGGGATGTTGACTTAGACCAAGGTTGTTATTTTGATTGATTTCGATAGTTTAATTTGAATTGTTTTTCCTGGAATTGATTCGTTTTAACTCAAACAACACACCCCCCCCCCCCCCCCCCCCCCAAAGCCTTGTTCACATAACATAAAATTCTGTTAGACACTCTCCGCGGGAACGACGTTACTCATACTACTACATGTGTTTTTAGGTTAACCTTGGTTGCCTATGATAGCACACACAAGTATGCTCATTGTACTTAATGCTTTTAATAACCCAATCGTAGCCCTGAGCCTTCTATCGATCCACGACCATAACCACCACGAGTCCCAAACGTATGAGTTCTAATACTGGAAAAATACTTCTGATATGTGGGATCACTTTACTATAAATCTTGTGAGAATATGGATGATAGGACATCAAAATGTAATTATTGTGGGAATATGCTTGCATGTCCAAGAAAAAATGGTAATAGTTGTCTATGAAATCACTTAAGTCGATGTAAAAAAATACCCTTTGAATGTGATGGATAAGAAACAAAGGATCTTAGTTTTTCAACAGTCACAATTACATGACCAATCAAGTGGTACTGCTGCCACCTCACACACATCTTCACTTACAACTTGGAAATTGAATCTAAATAGGCTTAGACAGTCTATAGCTAGAATGGTCATTATTGATGAGTTGCCTTTAGGCATATGGAGTGGGAGGGGTTCCGTGAAATGATGAGAGAGGACAACTCTATTTCAAGTTCCCTCTCATGTTATTGTGGCTAAGATTGCTTTAAAATTATGTTGAGGAGAGACAGAAGTTGAAGGCCTTTTTTAGTAAGTTTAGTCAGAAAGTAAGTCTTACTACAGATACATGGACATCTTACTAGAACTTTAACTATATGTGTTTGATGGCTCACTTCATTGATGATGATTGGAAACTTCACAAAGGATCTTAAACTTTGTCCAATTGCTAGTCACAAATGTTTATGATTGGTAAGGAAAATGAGAGAGTGTTTGCTTGATTGGGGTATTTCTAAGAATTTCACTTGTTACCATGGACAATGCAAGTACAATGATGGGACTAAGATATCTCCAAAATTGGTTAGAAAGTTGGAAGGGAAGTATTTGAATGTGACTTTTTGCACATGAGATGTTGTGCACATATATTGAGTCTCACTATAAAAGAGAGGAGGTTAAAGACATGGAGGTTCTATTTTAGAATTCACTCTGCATTGAGATATGTGAGGTCTCTCTAGCAATGTTACAAAGGTTTAAGGATAAGGAGTGTGTAGAGCAAGAAAAGATTGAACAAAAAAATCTTTTGGTCCTGATGTAGAAACAAGGTGGAACTCTACGTTAATGTTGGATGTGGCTTCAAAATTTCAAAAAGCATTTGAGTTGCTGGAAATCCAAGACATTAAGTATAAAGAGAACTTACTAGAGGGGAAAAGTCAAAGGGTTTTCTACACCAGTGATTGGGAGTATGCCCGTTACTTGTTACCTTTTTAAAAAGTTTCTTATGATGATTCTCTATGTGTGTCAGGCTCACTTTTTGTACTAGAATACATACATGTGTGAGATTTGGCATTGGAATGAAGATTTCAACATGGTGTAGAAGTAATGATGTTGGCTTAAGTACTATGGCTAGGAGAATGAAGGGAAAAATGATAAACTATTGGTCAAATATTGATAACATCAACTTAATGTTATTCATTGCAGTGGTGTTGGATCAGATTCAAGTTAGAATATGTGAAATGATGTATGTTAATGCTGAAATTTTGAAGACAAAAGTGCAATAACTTTGTACTCTTATTTTACCAGCACAAGCTCATTTATGTTTTCCTAGTGGCCAATCTAGTCAACAATCTGAATAAGCAAGTCAGATTGATGTTGAAGATGTAAATGTTGATCCTGAAGAATTAATGTATTGTATGTACGATGAGGCAAGAGTTGGACAACAAGTTTTGGAAACCAAATTTGAGATGGATAAATATTAGAGGATGAATGTGAGCAGCGTAACAAGGACAAGATGTTTGATATCTTGAATTGGTGGAAGATTAATTCAAATAGATATCCAGTTCTCTCTTCGATAGCACGAGAGGTATTGGTTATGTTGGTTTCTACTATTGCATCTAAGTCAACGTTTAGCACTGCAGGTTGTGTATTAGATCCATTTCGTAGTTCCCTCACTTCTAAGACAGTGGAGGCTTTATTTGTACACAAGATTGGATTTGGGGGACACGTGAACCTTTCATGATTAAGGAGAGCTTGGATGAGATACACAGCTTGAGAAGGTAAATTTTTTACGTTAGTTTCAATTATTAGTATTATTGTCTTTGTTAAATTAGTGACTGTATTTTGAATTTAACCATTATTATATGACTTACTTTTGTAGAATTTGGTCTTTGGCTACAGGAAATACTACTCGTGTTGTCTAGATGATTGAAGGTTTTGCAACATTTAATTGAGGTATGTCTTTAACTGTTTTGTTATTGTAGGCAATGAAAAAAAAAAATTAGATAATTTTATCAACTTCTAACATTTAATTTTATTTGGACAGAAATTGAGAGAGCTACTCGTATTGAATTAATATTGGTTTCTATTTTCCACTTGTGGAGTTGTATTTGCATAATTGCTTTGTTGTTTTTCATTGGGACTTATTTTGTTGTTTATTATGAATTTTCAATTTCATTACGGACTTTATTTGTATCAAATTTTAATGCATTGTTGGTTATGGTCAATGGTTATGTATGAATATTCAAGTTATTGGATTGCAAAAATGAATATTACAATTATGCACTTTTACAATTTAAATCTGGGAAAAAAATTAATAAGTTTAAGGGAAAACCGGTTCAAAACCGATTTTCTCCTAAACCAGTTCGGGTTTCAGTTCGAGAAAATTTCTAACCGCAAAAATCGTTCAATTCATTAAAAATGGTTAACCGGTTTTGTACACCCCTAATTTAATAATACACAATAATTAGAATGATGGATATGTTAATAGAAGAATAATGCTACATCATTTTGTGTGAAATATTTTATATACACACTTTATATTATAATATTATTCTATTCATTTTATAGGTTACTCTGCCTTGGAGTGAAAATGAATCCTACCAAAGCTAATTATATCTCCACAACAAAAAGGATGATGACATATTTGCAAATTTTCTACCCGGTTTTTTTTTTTTTTTTTGCCTACGTGGCTCTCTGTTGACACATCATCTCTATCTTTGCTATCATCTTTTAAACTCTTGGGAATCTCCTTCTTTCTATCTGATTTTGGGCCTCTTTCACTCTGCCAAATTTCTTCTTTAGCCGGGTTTAGGCCCATATGTTCTAAATCTACATATCTCAAACCTGAATTCCTACAATATTTTAAAATGGTTTATTTCTTACACCCCCATGAGATCATGGTTTAATCTTAACACACCCAAAAGTTTTGGTTGATTTCATAATATTATTGAAATGTGTTTAATATCTTAGATTATGAAATTGTAACGACGATGAAGCACCTCTGAGTCTCTGACCAAGGAGTAGATGGCATCTGAGAAAGGGAAGAAGACAAATAAGAGTGAAAGGCCTGCAGATTAGGTGCTTGTTTATTTTTTAGACCTTTGTCTTACTGTATTTAAATTTAAAATATTAGGTTATTGTTTATTAAAAAAAAACTTATGAATATGTCCAAATAATAAAATGAAAAATAGCTTTTTATCTTAATCTAAATAAGTTTATCAAACACTTAGCAATGAAGTATTACACATGGCACCATTTCTTAATCTCTATCCAAGCCATTTAATGATCTCATTATGCGTATGGTTTAGATTTTGGATTAGTGTCACTTGTCTTATTTGGTGTGTAACTTAAGTTGAAAAGCCAATGGATTTAAGCCACCCACCAAACTCCATGGTGCGTTAGGCCCCCGTATCCTTTTCTTGTAACAAATAGAATAATACCCCAAAAAGCTCCGGTTTAATATAAAGAGTTATAATAGGAGGTTTTGTTTAGTCCCATATCTCTCAAATCTTTCACATTAACCCATCTCTCTTTTCTTTTATTAACTCAACCCTCTACTGTACTATTATTATACTTGATTCAAGTATGACAGTTATTGTTTTATTCGCCATCACAACTTTTCGCATTAGAAGATATTTCATAAATGCATTTAGATCTGAACTTTGGGCCTACATATTGAATAGACAAATATTTCTTGTTTGTATCCAAAGAGAACAATGAATTCCTGGGCACAGAAAGATTCCACTTAATTATTGATTGATGTGAAGCCACTAAAAATATCGATCATAAATTTATTATTTGGATGATTGGATCTTTGTGCCTATCATTATACTTTTATCTGATTCCTTTTTAAATGCTCCACTGATATAAATGGTTTGAGGAACCCACTAAGCAAAGTAAGAAGAAAACAAAATGAAGGGTCAACTCTCGGCGGAAACGACGGTAGGTGTGGCGGCGAGTGCAGTGTGGGAGGTCTACAAGGGGCTGGAGCTGGGAAGACTTGTGGATAAATTACTACCTGATGTTCTTGGAAAGGTCGAAGTTACTGAAGGCGATGGCGGTGTTGGTACCATTGTTAAGCTTACATTTCCCCCAGGTATTATATCTTTCTTTCTAATTAAATACTTTTTATTCTAAAGTTCTCAGCTCAGATCTCTATAATTTATGGAAGTTATTATGATCTTAAAATATATATAATTAAATGTTTGGGTAAAATATTTCTATAAGAATTCTTAAATATTATATCCGAGGTTTAAATTATTTCTGTTTTTGAACATATAAACATTATTTTTTTCTGTAATATAAAATGTATCACTGTTTAGGATGCTAGCTAGGTTTGACGATGATAAAGGCCATGTCTTTTTTTTTTTTTTTTTTCGTGCTTATTTATGGTTTATATACAACCTAGAGAAATGTGTTAATAGACATATGGTAACTTTCATTATGATCTGAAAACAGTTAATTTTAATTTATATATAAAATAGGATATATATATATATGTATATAATAATATTCTAGTTAAGATGTTCTAATATTGTTTTTATGAGAGTTATGTTTAATCACGGTTAGATTTATCTCACATTAGATTTATATGATCTTTTAAATCTCAAATTCAATATTGTTTTCATATTCATGGTCTTGACTAGAGAATAACTATATATGTATATATTATAAGAAAGTATGATTAATATAGCTACAACCAAACTTCTTATATTATTTTCAAGTTTTAAAGTAATTAAAACTGTTTTTGAAAATACAATCATATTTCTTTGTTTTTAATATTTTTTATATATGTTCTAACAAGAAGAATAAAATTGTTTCTAAACTCAAGTATATGATATGTAACCAAATGCTAGCTAGGTTTGAAGAGGTTAATTTCAATAAGTAATGATATATTTTTTTTTTTTTTTTTTTGTTTGGGGTGGTTTATAAAGGAACTCCTGGAGCTGGTTATATGAAGGAAATATTCAAAAGGATTGATGAAGAGAAGCGAGTGAAGGAAACAGAAATGATTGAAGGAGGGTTTAAAGCACTTGGATTTGAATCATATATAATTCGGTTGGAAATTATTGAGAAAGGTGGTGAATCAAGTATTATTAAATCTTCAATTGAGTATGAGGTTGATGATAAATTAGCCAATCTTGCTTCTGAAGTGACCACTAAGCCTCTGGAAACAATGGCAGAAGCCATTGGGAAGTACCTTAGCGATCAGAAAGCCTGTGCCTAGAATGTTTGACATCAATTCTAGCATTGTTATAACATCTAGTAACATATAATAAATTGTAATAGTGCAGACACAGTTATGTTTTTATATCAATTGCATTCTCAGATTTTCATTAATAATTGAGTTATATTTTTATTCATATTGATAACATATAAATTGCTCTCACCCTTTGAAAATTCCTTGATATACAAAAAACTTGGGCTTTTCGAACAATACATCTTGTGGGGGAATTTTCAACCTAGCCCAAGTTGAAAAAGCCCAATGAGAAAATCGATAATACGCGGGCCCTAGAATATATAAACAAGAATTAAAAATGAATCAAGTACTGAAAATAGGCCTATGATAAGTTAATTATAATCTAAGTTTGACCACATGACGAAAATGGACCAGACCGAAAGTTCGGGTTGCTTAAGGCCCAAACCAGAGAAGTCTACCCAGATGGCAGGAGACCCAAAACCCGTCAATACAAAGAAGACGCCTGGCATGACACGTGGCATAGGGGGGTGGATAATGTCTCTTACTTACCTTGTCAACTTGCCTTTCACTTCACTACTTTAGCTTCCACTGCTTACAAAGTAGGAGATTAACACATTCCTTTCTAGGCAGCACAATGCCACCAAACAACCCAAGAAACCCTCCACATGATCAAGAGATTGAGGCTATATGTATAAATCCCCCAAAGAGCGTCGGCTAAGACTTTGTTCTAAGAATCATTCAATTTCTCTCCATTTTTTCCTTATATAACTTGGGCATTGAAGAGACAACGCCAAAAAGAACCAGTTGATAATAGCTAATCTTCTATTGATAGACTTCTAAGGTAGCAAGTTTGCCCAGGTCATTTTGTCGCACAAACAACACTGAAATAACTCTACACCATTCTTATATAAGTTACCTACTTTCAACTAAAGTCTAAAACTAACAAGGGTGTAAAACAAAAACTTGAAGAACAAAAACAGAACTGTGCTTACCTTGATGAATTTTATGGCCTTCTTTATGGCTGTTAGATTTCCTTTATTTGCTTTATCATATGTAACATGATTTTCTTAATTTCCCTATTTTATTTTCCTTATGTTAAAGGAGTGTAATTTTTAGTAGGAATTGTTTCTCTATAATAATTAGTTTTCCTATGGTTTTTAGTCTTGGTAATTAGATGAATAAAAGTTTTGCTAGCCTAAAGTAGTCATTCTATTGTTTTATTCTCTCATTATTATCAACAATGTTGTTAGTTTATTTTCAAGAATACTTTATTGATTAAAAAAAAAAATTAATCATATTCTCCATCATGACATTAAGATTTTGAAAGACTATAGTGAGAGATTGTTTGGCAGCATAGAGTTTAGAATTTGAGTTTAGGGTTGTATAAAATAATTTCTCTTAGAAATAAAAATAAAAATAAAGAAAGAATCACGCAAATGATGCCTAAAATCTTGAAGGTAATTAATAAAATATTTAATTAAGTAGATCACTTATACAAATAACTATATATTATACACATGTTTCATGTTAATACTTGCTGTAACATCTCTTTATTATTAACACATTCCATAAGGAAAGGGATTTGATATATATATATATATGCCAGGAGATTGGAGCAAATAGATTGCAAAATCTTTAAGAAAACCGATGGTAATGACATGAGACAATTCATAAATAATATATACAATTGATGAAAATTCGATCTATAGAGTCTGTTTAGCGACCAAATAAAAAATAAATTTTATGGTCAAGGCCTTTACAATAATTGATGAAGTTAACTGATAAGTCGTGCAACAATAAATAAAACTCTTAGTCAGTAGACGTATTGTTGGTCAAGAAAAATTATTGAAACAATTAATAAATTAATTATAGGATATTATTGAATATCATTTCTTGTAACTTTTCCTCACCGGAACTTGTTAGTTCTGGCTCTATAAATTTGCAAGATAGAATACAAAGAGTAAGCAGCCATTGAAGTAGCTGGAGCTAAAGAGAAAAATGGCTGGAAATGTGGAGTTTGATGATGATGATATAAAGCATGGCCATAACACAAACCAAATCCAAACTTTTGCTACGCCAAAGTACCATATTGTATTAATTACACTTCTATTTTAGTTCTGGCTAGTTTGTTTTTATGTGGGTTTAATTGATTGTTGAATTTTTTTTTTTTTTTTGGCTTCAAATATTAATTCGCAGGTCAGAGCAAGTGTCGATTGTGGAGGACAAAGAGAAGAAGCAATATCCCTCTACATGGAATAAGTTGTTGGGGTTGGAAGAGGTTGTCTCTTTTAACGTATGTACGTTAATATGATTTTTCATGCAGTTCAATTTTGCTAAGGCAACTCTAATTATTAAGAACTAAATAACAATTTGATGTGGCTCAACAATTTAGTGGCGGCCTCAGAAATATTTTAAGAGAAGACATAATTCATTTAATATATAAATGCTGTAAAAAATTAATTATCTATATAAAATCTAAACAATAGAAACGCTAACAAGAATTTCATATAAAGTGATATCAATTATTACTTTTCATCGACAATTCTTCAAATTTATTTTTTATAGAATCAATTGAGATGCCACTTAATTTACTCTAAGGAGATTACAATTAAAAAAGAAATAAAATTTAATGATGAATTCTCTAAAGTTTATTGAATACATTCTATGTAGAATTAGAAAACTTAGAGAAAAATTATTATAAAAATACCCTCATATAAGATTTTAATATGCGAAGAAAGGGTAAAAATTTGTAGAAGCACAAGAAAATCAATAGAAATTAAGTTATTATTTATCTCGTTATTGTTAAAACTTCATGATCATCACCACCAGGTGTGGAGAGCATCACTTGCAGAACTCATAGGAACAGCGGTGCTGGTTTTTTCCCTTGACGGAATCGTCATTTCCTCCATTCAAACTAAAACAAACACACCAAATCTCATAATAGCATAATAGCTCTAATGGCCGCAATAATAGTATCAATTCTCCTTATCGCCACCTTTCCCATATCCGGGGGTCACATCAATCCAATAATCTCCTTCTCAGCCGCGCTCACCGGCGTCTGTTCCATCACGCGCGCTGCCGTATACATTTTCATGTAATGCATTGGCGGCATTCTGGGCGCCCTAGCTCTAGAAGCCGTTGTAAACAGAACCATTGAAGACACATTTTCACTTGGTGGCTGCATTGTGAGTGTTGTTACAAAAGGAGAAAATGGAGTATCGATTGTGGTTGGGTTGGGGATAAGCGAGGCCCCTTGGCTTGAGATGTTTTGCTCATTTGTGTTTCTTTTTTCCACAATCTGGATGGCGTTTGATCATTGACAAGCCAGAGCTCTGGGGCATGTTCTTGTGTTGATTATCGTGGGAATAGTGTTGGGGCTGCTTGTGTTTGTTTCAACAACTCCTACGGCTCAGAAGGGTTAAACAATCCAAAGAAAAAAGAAAAAAGACGAGGTTAGGGTTTCATTGATACTGCACAATGTAATTGAATACAAAAAGAATAATTTGACCTAAATACAAAGAGACTATATATAGGCTAGACAAAGGAAACTGAAAAGACTACTCTACCCTTAATAAACAATAAAACAAAATAACCCTGTATTTCTTAAAATCTCCCCTCAAACTAACGATGCGGTGGCTACAAGCATCAAGAGTTTGCCAACTAGAAAACAAAAAGGGGAAATAGAATGCGGTAAAGAAATCTGCAATCTACAAAGAAGAAGAAACAAAGGGCAAGGTAATGGTGCTATGCTTGAGATGATGACGAGTAAGGTGACAATCGATCTCAATATGCTTAGTTCATTCATGAAAAACCGAGTTGTGAGCAATCTGAATAAAACTCTGGTTGTCACAATACATAAGAGTGAGATGAGAAAGAGAAACTCTCATATCTACAAGTAACCAACGTAACCAAACAATCTCCTTGGTAGTAGATGTCATAGCACGATATTCTGCTTCGGTTGAAGATTGAGAAACAATAGATTGTTTCTTGCTCTTCCAATAAATAAGATAATAACCCAAAAAGATACAGAAACCAGTAACAGACTTGCGATCTATGGGATCACTGCCATGATCAGCATCAGAGTATGCACGCAGCTCCAAGGAAGAGGTGGATGGAAGTAAAAGACTCTGAAAGATTGTACCCCGAAGATACCACAAAATATGAAGAACATCTGCCCAATGAACTATAGTAGGAGAAACAACAAACTGACTAAAAATATGAACAACATATGCAATATCTGGACGAGTAATAGTGAGATATACCAAGCTCCCAACAATAGTACGATATAAAGTAGGATCTGAAAAAGGGAAACCATTAGAAGAATAATACTTTGCGTTAACCTCAATCGGAGTATCTACAGTCTTATTATCAGTATGCGTAGCCCGCTCAAGAATATCTGCAACATATTTCGATTGAGAAAGAAGATAACCTCTAGGTGAATAGGCTACCTCAATACCCAAGAAATATCGTAGAGAACCCAAATCCTTCATTTCAAACTGTCTAGCTAACTCTGTCTTCAAAACTGAAATACCATCAATATTATCACCCATAATAATCATGTCATCAATATATAAACACAAAATGATACGACCTGCATCAATGCACTTAACAAAAAGAGCAGAATCATGACTACTAGAAGCAAATCCAAGGGAAGAGATCACAACAGAAAATTTCTCAAACCAAGCACAAGATGCTTGTTTAAGACCATATAACATTTTCTTGAGCTTGCAAACATACCCAGAATCATGTGAAACATTAGGAGGGGGCTCCATATAAACTTCTTTTTGAAGATCTCCATTCAAGAAGGCCTTTTTAACATCAAGTTGAAAGATATGCCACTAACGAACCAAAGCTACTACAATAAGAGTACGAATAGTAGTCATTTTTGCAACAAGAGCAAATGTCTTCTCATAATCCATACCATACTATTAAAAGTACCCTTTTGCAACCAACCTAGCTTTGTACCGCTCAATAGATCCATCAGAATGAGTCTTGATCTTATACACCCAACAACAACCAACAACACTCTTACCAGGAGGTAGAGGAATCAAATCCCAAGTAGTCTTATGCAAAGCAGAAAGTTCCTCATCCATAGCTTGCTGCCAAAGAGGATCAAGAATTGTCTCTTTATAGGAAGAGG